AATATTATCCATACAACAAACGCAAAATTGAGAGCTTGGAAGCAAGAAGATTCTGCTGTTCTAATTCAAAAGCACAAATAACGCCTGAAATTTTAAGAAAATAAATAAAACATTTTTTCTAAAAGAAAAAAAGAGAAGGAAAGCAGAATGGAATATGTGCAAGTTGGAGAAGATGGCCGTACAATCAACGGTTAGTTTTTCAACCTACATTCCTTTCTTTTTTTTTTAACAAATTTGAATCTAGCTAATTTCACCAGTGTTATTCAATTTAATTTAAGGCATATTGAGGAAATTAGGAATATCCTCCAAGACATGAAACAAGCTTGGGAAGTCTAACAATCAGTAAGTAACCATATGGAACAAGTTTCTACCATTCTAACCTGAAGAATGTACATGAGTAGGTAGTTTTTACTGTTCATATTGGTGGTGCCTAGTGGGCAGTGCCATGACCTTTTTACTATTCCAGCCTGAGTGACATAGTGACAAGTAGTTTTATTGTTCTAGCCTGAAAAGCCAAAGTAACATGTAGTTACTATTCCTAAGACATGCAGTTTTACTATTTTAATCTGATGAGGTACAAGAGCAGGTAGTTTACTGTTCCAGCCTGGAAAAGGCATAGTGATAGGTAGTTTACTGATCCTAGAAACAGGTAAATGTTGCCCGACACCACTAGGGAAAATCCACAGATTAGAGCTTAGTAGGTAGATATGTATGGAGTACGAGTATTGTTTAGAGCAAAAAGGGCTCCTCCAGACTTATGAGTGTTACCCTAGGGCCCTTCCATGGGCCAGAGATTCGAGGTGCACTTTGCGCAAGACTGATGAAGGATCTAGACATACGTGAAACCTAGAGCGAAGAGAAAACAAAAAAAACCCCTAGGTTGCAAACCTAAGAGGGATTGAGTACTCCTTAAAGAGGTATGTTGAGGGTTAGTTACATAGTGACCTACAAAGTTTGGTCCAGACGTTAAGCCAAAATTTGGCTATCGCTAGGGACAGATATGAGCACATGGCCTAAGTTTCTGTGTATAGAATTAAGTCTGACAAGATCCTACAAATAAGTTGCTTACTGAGTATTTTTATACTCATTCCATGGTATTATATTTTTTTTTAAATGAGTGTAGACCAATGTTGATGGCGAGAGCGTGTGGAGCCGTGCGGCTGTAGGGGTGCCCTTTAGATCAAGTCGTCTTTCTTCTAGTCATTATATTATTATTTTAAATGCTACTTAACGAAACTTATGCATTTTTGTACACCAGTTTGATTTGACTATGCGGATATTACCTTTAAACTAGTTTAAAGACCACATATCTAAATTTTAAATTTCTTGTGTCTCCCGTTCAACAAAAGAAAATTTACTACCCTTTTAAACCTTAAGTCTCAACATGTGAACTTCCAGATTTATGTTGAACTTCATAGATCTGAATAAACTAAAGATCCCTTATGTACAGTTTGGCTCACAAACATAGGAAGCAATAAGAACTGAAAATCATGAAAATTATCGTACGGCAATGCAATAAGAAATAATAAGTTATTCCGGGAGTACACTATTACTAATTGCTCTAAACGTGATATACCATAAGGGACATAAGGATGATGTCACATTTAGACAAGAGGGAACAAGACTAAGGCATTCAATAATCTCTCTATAATAATTAAATTAGAGTCACGCAATTCTGCACCAGAAAAGAAAATGAGGAAAACTCCTCTCTATAAATTGGCTATAAATTGGCTAGAAGGTCTGACATTGGCCAAAGACATGGGTACAAACACTGTACAATACCTCATTTTCCAAACCAATGAATATTTTTGCATATGCAACAAAGAAGGTGAAATTCTCAAAATCTCCCATTGGCCTAATTGAAATTTGAGTACTTCATGTTCTATAACAATCATCTCAAAAAATGAACTAGACTAAGAATGTATAGGTCTAAACTCTAATCATGATAAGGCTGAGTTTATTTTATCAGGTAACAGAAACATCACCTTGATAGCCACCAGATGAACGACCAATGTACCGACCAAGAGACCTTTCATCAACATATCCAGGCCGGCCACGCAGTTCGCGCTCATATCCCCCACCATAATCATAACCAAACCTTGGAATAAGATAAAATAGATAGATAAATACATATATCAATACTTAAATGACAACCTAGGCATTAGTCAACAAAACATAAAACAGAAACACTATCGCCCACCAAAGCATCATTAGTCGCTTAAAAAAAAAGGGAGTACAAATAGAGGATGAAAAATGACTAAGGAGAATCATACAAGTGAAGCAGAGGTGTCCATTGTAATAGAAAGTACAACTAAGCCCATTACGACAAAAATCACGCTCTTACATTTAGGACGGGGTTAGGGGGTGAAGAGATGATGGGCATTGAGAAACATGTCTGATTTTTGGGACCATTAAGAGAAAAAATAGAAGACCTACAACAACTTTGTCCAACAAGCAGAACAAAAAAATAATATGGGATGAACATTATTCCTCTACGAAATGGTTCATCTCATAACTACATTTGTATATTAAATGGGTTGAACCATTATAAATCAAGATGGGATGAACGATCTTATCTCGAATGAAATGGGAAGAACCATTTTATCTAAAAAGCTGTGTGTAAAACATTATTCGTCTCGTATGTAAGGTACTTGTTGAGTTCAAACTTTATGTTGAAAATGGCTTCCAGCATCAGTTAATGGTTGAAACATATAACCTTTGGAGTATTTAGTGGCAATGCCAAGTTTGAAGGACCTAGCTATGGAAGAATAAAAATTCCATAGTCCACAATTAAGAAGATTTCTTTTTTTCATTTAGATGAAAATTGACTCTAATCTGTGAATGCCATATAAATTTCAAATGCACAGAATTCATCTCCAAATCACTAGAACAAGAATTAAGCTCGACAAATCAAAACAGTTTCCCACCCACTCACCTCCTATCGCCAGGCCCGAAACCTCCTCTAGGGCTTCCCTTTCTTCCATCATACCCACCGCCATCATCTCTCCGGGAACGCTTGAAAGGTGGCGGAGGAGACCGTCTAGGAGGCGAGTGTCTACGATCCCTGTAAGGCGGTGGGGGACTAAGACTGCTCCGCCGTTTATAATCCCTATCTCTGTCTCTATCCCTATCCCTCGGAGGCATCGTAGGCGGAGAGCGATTACGATCGTAATTATCGTTGCGTCGGTTCGGAGGACGATCAACATCCCGGTCGTCTCTCCTATCTCTCTCATCTCTATCCCTTCTTCTGGAAGGAGGAGGAGGAGCAGCAGCAGCAGCCGGCTGCGGCGGAGGCGAGGAATGAGGTTGCTCCTCAGACGATTTCTCTTGTTGATCACGACGGCGGTCCAACGACTCGTCGGCGGTATCGGCGGCGGCCATGTTCATAACCTCGGCCATGATTTTACACAGCACTGGAAGAAGAAGAAGAAGAAGAAACGAAACCCTAGAATGAACCCAAAGCGTCGGAGAATTGAAGTCGAGAAAGTCCGGAGTTTCGTTCACTGATCTGACAAACGTGTGGAATTAATCCCATGCGGCAGCTCCTACGTATATTTATGGTGTTTTACATTTTATGACGTGGCGTGTTATGATTGGATACATGTACCACGTAAGCATCCTCGTTGACATGCGTGGGACAGGGTCATTTTCGGTATTTTATCCGGGCGGAATATAGATATGTTCTTTTACCAAAATACCCCTCCTGACCTATCCAAAAAAATATATATTTTGGTCGATTTTGTATCGTCCTCAATTTAATTTTTACGTTTCAAATTTTTTAAATGAAAATTAATAAAAATATTATTAAAATTATCCCTAAACTCTCCCACTTTAAAAAATAATAAATTATTTAATATTTCAAAAATAATTTTTAATTTTATAAAATTTCATTAATATCTTACTTTTTTTAAAAAAAAATTTAAAATATTCTATCATTCGAGCTCAAGCTTGCTTCTAGTAGATATTTAAAATATGTCTACTGGAAATAGTTTTCACACCAGTACAAGGAATGTTTCGTTCTTATCTCCACGAGATCTCACAATCCATATCTTTAGAGACCCAACATCCTTGTTGGCACACTGCCCCATGCCATTTGTAACAGCTCAAGCTCGCCACTGTCAGATATTGTTTATTTTTGCTCGTTACATATCGTCATCAACTTTACTGTTTTAAAAGCGTCTACTAGGATGAGGTTTCCACATCCTTACAAGGAATGTTTAGTTCCCCTCTCTAACTGATATATGATCTCACACCTAAGACCAAAGTGAGTGAAATCTTTTAATACTACGTTAAAAAATAAATATATATTATAATACCACGAGAATTTTAGCGTAGATTTATTTATTTTTAGTGACAAATGATTCGAACCTATAATATTTTTGTTAGTAATATGATATTTTTAATTAGTCGAGCCATACTCGGATCGACTATTTTACCGTTAAAATTACTACGAAATATTTTATATACGTAATATAACTACAAAGACCAACACAAACATAATTCACCAATAATTAATATGTACTAATTCTTCCGTGTCGAGTGTTCATATCATCATGTGTATATATATAATTAATTAATTAATTTTAATTTCATCGTATAAGTTTCATATTAGAAAAATATTCCCATTTTAGATCGTATTATAAGAATAAAATCAGTTATTTATTATAAAATTTCGTCATACACTTTTTCATATTAGAAAATTATTTAACGATTAATTTGTGTTTTTTTACGTAGATTTATTTTTTTCATGAATGATTTTGTGAAAAAAATTAAATGTTTTATTTATTTATTTTTTGTTAAAATGAATAAATGTAATTAAAAAATTGAATAAAATTGATATAATTGGATAAAAAATGAAATTTTGTTGGCCCTTCAATTTAAGGGTATAAGGACAGAACAGACATTTCGCCCTCTCCGGACACAAAAGAGTTAGATTTTAAGAATTGGACCTGGCCCGTTTTGTGAGAATTGAGGCCCAATTTGCGGAAGAACCCGTGGGAGCTCTATATATATATTCTTGGAATTAGGGTTTTTGGCTGTAGTTGAACAATCTCGGCGTGTTGAGCAGCAGCAGCTTCTAATCTTCCATCATGGTGGCCGCAAAGAAGACGGTGAGTTTCTTCTTTCATTTCCGGTGATTTTGGGCGTTCTTTCTTACATTTTCGAGATGGAGTATGCTCATATGTTTTTGATTGTGAAACCTACAACAGAAGAAGACCCATGAGAGCATCAACAACAGACTCGCTCTCGTCATGAAGAGTGGGAAATATACCTTGGGATACAAAACTGTCCTCAAGACCTTGAGGAACTCTAAAGGTAATCTATTGATTTTGTTTTCCACTTTGTGTTATTGATCTGCTCTCTGGACATTACCTCGATGTATGCTTGTTCGTTGATAAGGCAGTTCATTAGGTGATTGTTTTCGTGATTGATATTTGGTTGATTTTTCAGTTGACCAATTGTGTTTTAGTTGGTTCTAGTTTTCGCTGGAATTACTGAAATTTTCGAATCAAAGTCTGATGTTTAGCATGAGATCATGGAAATGTTGTATGCCGTCGATCTGAAACCTTGTTTCTTACAGTATTCAAAGCATTATCAGATATTTTTATTACTATTCTTCTAGTCTTAATCCAACACTCAGTAGTTGATTTAGTTTACTAACTTTTGTTATCCTATTAAATAAACTACTATGTTGCCGTCTTTCCCTTGAGCAGTGAAGAGGTCCGTAGTGTCTGATTTGTTTGTTGTCCATGTTCTCTGTTACGTTGATTTTTTGCATTTGAGGTTATGTCTGATTATTTTGTTGGATTTTCAGGTAAGCTTATCATCATTGCCAACAACTGCCCTCCACTCCGAAAGTCTGAGATCGAATATTATGCGATGTTGGCAAAGGTTGGAGTTCACCATTACAATGGAAGTAAGTTTCTAACCTTTCTTTTAAAATTAAGGATTTGGCCTTTTTTGGTACTACTTTTAATTTATTTGGCATTTAGAATAAGAACATGTATCCACCTGCATCTGGAGATTAGTGAAAGATCAAATTTTGTTTCTTGGTTGGGAAATTGTTAATATCGAGCTAGAATTTTTGGATTACTTGATGGCCTTTATTCATAATAATCTAAGCAATTGCTACCTGTCGTGATTATGTCAATACTTTTGATAATTCAGAGGCCAAGACTTAGGCTTCAAACAACAACCTAGGCGATGGGTAGAGACCCCCCCCCCCCCCCCCCCCCCCTCCCCCCTAAAATCTCAAGGAATTAGAGCCTCCCAATCGGGTAGGTTAAGGATAGGCTGTAACTATAAAAGAATTTAGACCCTTTATCCTTATTATTTGTTTCTGCCTCGTGTCTTGTGTTTCGCGTTGATTATGATGGTGTTTGCCCTAATTACACTTGAGAACTGATCTCTATTTTTGTACGTTTTCAGGCAACGTAGACCTTGGAACCGCTTGTGGCAAATACTACAGAGTATGCTGCCTCAGCATTATCGATCCTGGTACGTATACTTTTCGATTATGATGGTGTTTGCCCAAATTACACTAGCCCTCGCATAATGTTCTAATTATGGTATTTAATGTCCTTCAGGCGATTCGGATATCATCAAGAGCTTGCCTGGAGAAAGTTAGGTTGCAGATCATAGATTTTTGTTTCAGAGTTTCATTTTAATCCACTTGATTTTGGGTTGTGCGTAGCGATATTTTGAACGAACGGTTTCATTATAAACTCTTTTATGTACGAGAATGCATTAATGTCAGTTCAAATCTGTTCCTGGTTTGTATTCATAATATCAATCTTGTAAGGCATTTCAGACAAGTTTCATATCGTTAGTTTGGTTTCTAAATCTTCCCTGATTACAAAACAAGCATGTCTCCAAATATGACGTTAGTTCATCTTTCCTTGGATAATGCATTAATGCCCGTTCCAATCTGTTCTTGGTGTTTGTATCACACAATCTCAAGAACAGAATCGAAATCAAATGCCAACCCTCGGCTGCTTGGCTGGATGGATATAGCTTCTAATCTTGTTTGTTTCTTAAGATATGTTAGGAGATGATTTCAGTAAAAATGTTTATAGTTTTTAAATGAATTTAATCCTTGATAAATTTAAATAATCTACCTGAGTAAGAAGTTTCATTAAATCTTTGTAAAACTTTTTTACCATATAGATTAAATAGTTACAAATGGTAAACCTGATTAAATTGTTACTGGTTAAAAATATAGGGATTAAATGTTATAAACTAAAGTAGTTGAAGGACTGAAGTGTTATTGCAATAAAAGTTTAAGGACCAAAAGTATATTTTAAAAAATAAAAATTATAGTATATCCAAATATTACGTAAAAATAAGATTTTTTTAAAGGAAAAAAATCGTTTATATTAAAACTAAAAAAATGACTTAAAACATATAATATTCACAATTTATGGGATATCGAGATAAGTAATGTATACTATGTAAACAAGTCTAGTGAACATAAAACTATAGAGTTGTGGTACCAACTGTACGACCCGTCACACGACTATTGAGAATCGTCACAAAAACATAAGGAATTTAAGATTTTTGTCAAAACAACCTAAACTCGTTTAAAGTAGACGAAAATTTGTTCACCCTTAGCACCATCGAAAATTTTTCTCAGTTGAATTTCATGCTCCACGTCTGATTTGGAGTACACCAAAATATAATCAATTAATACAATCATGAAACGAAATAATCGAGAAGCTCTTTGAATACCAGGTTCATTAAGTCTATGAAAGGTTGAAGGTGCGTTAGTCTATCTAAAGGACATCATTGTAAATTCATAATGCTCGTATTGGGTCTTGAAAGCAGTCTCGAAATGTCTTCATCTTGGATCCTTAATTGGTAATATTTGAACCGTAAATCGATCTCCGAAAATACGTATTTTTAAAAATAAAAATAAAATTGGAAATTTTTTACAAAGGTGAAAATCTGATAAAGTAATGGTCTATCAATCATTTGTTTTTTACTTTTTTTTTTTTTTTAATTGACCAAAATTGTTTTTATTTAAAACAACAAATTAAATTAAATAAAGAAATTGTAAATAACTTATTTATTTTATTTATATTTGGTAAAAAAAAATGCTTGTTTTGAAATAAATTTTATTAAAATGAAAAAAAAAAGTACTTTTGAAAATTTAACATTTATATTTATATAATATACATTTAAAAAAAATCGAACAAATGTTAAATCGACGAAGGTTTGGGTATCGAACGAATTGTGTTTCCGATTGGAAAATCGTTCGTCTTCAGTGTTAGATCTGTCTCAGATTCGGTTCCGGCGAGTTGAAATCCTACCGGATTTGGGAGATTCGCGATTCTTTTGTTCTTCACGCGGAGGAATTGTTTCATTTTGGAGCCAAATGGAAGGTTTTACTGGAGAAGATCTGTCCACAATCGGAGGAATTGCGACCGTGTCGCTTCTGCATTCCTTCATTCCCACTCACTGGCTTCCTTTCTCCGTCGTCGGTCGCGTCCAGAAATGGACTCTCTCCAGGACTCTCCTCGTCAGTATGTTATCTACAACCGATCGCATTTCTTAGATCTCTTATTTTCGCTTCTGTTTCACCTTCCATTTTTTGTTTATCGATTTGCGAGTTTCTCGGAAAATTTGTTCGGATGTTGCTCTGAGTAGCTTATGTGATCGTAACCTTAATTAGAGAAAGATCCTAATGCTGGACTTGATTATCACAATGCAGTTAAATTCGTGTTTTTAGCTGAATCTTGTCCCGTGTTACCGTGACAAAGTTGTCTTAATATCCCGGTGGTTTCGCCGAAGCGATAGTTCTTAGTGCGTTCTTTGACGATTAGTGGCTGCAGAGTAGGGTTTTATCATACCTGCTCATAATCTAATTGTGAGATCTGGCGAATTATATATCTTTATTAGCGTAGTTAGTCTTTATCATCACTGTTCTTATCATATTTGGGAATGATTCCACATAATATACTTATTCATGCTGCTGTTGATACTCTGTTTAACGTGTTATATGTTCTTTTTGCTCGTCTTGATGTTTACTCAGCTGGCCTCTAGATCTAGAATAATGATAAAACTTGATAGAAATTTTTAGTGCATGAATATAATGGAAGCTGCACGGTGTGGCCAATTCTGAGCTAGTTTGGAGCTTGGTCAGTTGGAGATTTGGTTTTTATGTCAATTGATTAATCTCAGGGTTGCAGATTGGAATTGGATTACAGGCCATAATGATGAAAAAACATGCAAATTTTTTAATCTCACAACGCTAGCAGTTGGAAATCTTATGTTTATATGCATATTTGATTTTGCAGCTGCTTTTGGAGCAATTTTACATGTCATATCGACTTCACTTCTTGGAATAACAGCAATCACGATGGCTAATACTATTGCCGGTGAAGAAACCGTGCACAAGCTGGCCTCTCTTTTGCTTATAGTTCTTGGAGGTTGTTATGTTCTGTTGTTTATGACTGGTAGAGGTAGTCATAGTCACTCCCACAACCAACCGATGGAGAAAATGGCTGTTGCTGGTCTTGTCCTTGTACCTGCTTTATCTCCTTGTGCAACCACTCTTCCAGTGTTTCTTGCTGTTGGAAATTCATCTTCCATGATGATCCTTGCTATCATAGTGCTGCTATTCAGGTATCAATTGTATAGCATTAAACTTTCTTGTCTGTTGTACATTATGCAACTTCTTTGTTTGGGAGAAAGAAACCAACTTTTGGAAAGAAAAATGGAGGGTAGGAAGTGAAAAAATGATTCCTAAGTCGATCAGATGGCTACATGAAATAGGAAAAGATGAAAAAAAGAGAAGACAATTTCGAAAAAAAATGTCGGAAGGTCACACGACATCTTGCAAGCTCCCTACAACATCAATATCTATTCCTTAACCCTTCCACCCAAATATTCTAGGGAATTGTGGAGATGCCAAATTGCCATGAAGCTCTTCTTTGTTGCAAGGTGGACACAACAAAACTTCCTCAATTCAAACTTGGTTCCTCTGGCCAGGAGCAAATGAAAATTTAAAACTCCACAGAAATTCCTCCACATCTCTCATTTGAGTGGACAAAGCCATAAGAGTGAGCAGTATCTTCAGACCTTTGCTTATATAAAACAATTCATCAGAGACAAAGTGCCACAGAACATCCTTTAATGAAATCTTTGGTTTTGATCTTGCTAGAAGCAATGAGCTTAGGGAAGAATCAAGGATTTATGATTGTCTTGAAATTTGGATTTCATAGTTCATAAAATGGAGGGGAGAGTGTGTATTATGGTAGGATGCCAAATGGTTAGAAAGATGGCTGTAAAAGAAAATACAAGAGGACTCTAAGATCCAAACATGCCTATCCCATACCTTGATGAAGGTTAATTCCTTGTAAAGTACTGAGGAGGGGAAAAAACCATTAGTATCTCTATCAAAAAAGAGGTCTACGAAAATCGAAGTTCAAAGAAAAAACTCCCACAGAAGGTAAGTCCACTGCTATATAAACATCTTTAGCGTGAGAAACCACATACATGCAAAGAAAGCCGGATTGAGGAGAGGTACGGCCCAATCAAATATCCTCCTAGAAATGAATATTTTAAGGATTTGAGAACAGTCTAAAAGACAATGGGAGGCAGCTTAGAATTTCAAAAAGTATTAGTGGAAACCACACCATACTATTAGTGTAGAGACCATACTTAATAATTTGATATCAAAGTGGGTAGAGTTTTTTTTTTTTTTTTTTTTGGAGGAAACTGGCACGATCCACCCGGGATTATACATCCCTTTTGTAAATCTCAATCATCAAAGAAATTGTCTCTTATAAAAAAAAAGAACAGAAAATAGCACGATCATTTGTATGTTGTGCCACCGTTAGAGCCTCAAAGAAAGTTCGAAAGCACTCTCACAAATTTTAGGGGTTGTACATTGGCATGAAATAAGTTATCTTTTGAAGCCGAACTGCCAAAAGCTGATAAGAACACATCCTTGAAACTAGAATGAAGATAGTCGTGTTAGGAATTACGGATCTTCACAATGGTATGATATTGTCCACTTTGAGCATAAACTCTTATGGATTTGCTTTGGGCTTCCCCAAAAAGCCTTAGACCAATGGAGATGTATTCCTTACTTGTAAACGCATGATCATTCCCTAAAATAGCTGATGTGAGACTCCCTCCCAACAATCCTCAACAAACCGCCCTCCTCCTGGCTGCTCGTTCTTACCATTAGTAGATTTACCTTTGAATTGTAATTATACGCTGCTGTAAATCTACTTTCAACTGAGATACGCTAATATAATATCGATAATGCTGATTCACATCAATGACAACTATTTAGCAAACGTGCAAAGGTCATCGCTGCAAAAGTTCTACTTGTTTGTTTTCAGTTCCAAGGGTAGTCTTCCGTTCGCCCTGGAACGAATTTTTTAGGCATGCTTGATTTCTGAACACTAGTTGAACCTTAATTGGACATATCAATGTAACTATGATGTTTGTGAGGGAGCATTATTTATTTCATAGCATTCCAAGGAATTGATCACAAAACCATTTCATTGATACATAGCTTGTCTCTCTGGTGTTGGACTTTTGCATTTTGCAGCACAATAACTGTGATGACTTCGTTGGTAGCTTTGTCGTTCTACGGTGCGAGTCAGCTCAAGTTTCACTGGGTTGAACGCTATGACAAGCTTCTTGTAGGTTCGGTGCTGTGCGTGGTAGGTATTCTGACTCTCATCTTTCACGACCACGAGCACGACCACCACGGTCATGGAGGTTCCATAGGAGACAATTTGCATAGGAAAATTATTGTACTTTGAGGATTCTTCATATTATATCTTATATCCCTCAGACACTTATAATTTTGATCTTCTGGGAAATTTCAAGACTGACTTTGAAACCTTGTATTATATGAGCCCCAAGTGGTGGGTTTAAAGGTCAGTTTCTTGTATTCCTTTGTTGCTTTTGTCACATTTAAGAATTTTTTTTTTCATGTATGGTGAATAGAATGTTAACATCTTGCATCATTACTTTGTATTTTCATCTTTCAAGGTGCATAAAATTGGTACTTTGACTTATCGATCGAGCTCGACTTTTATACTTCTAGAGCCTATTTGGTATGACTTTTCAAGCGTTGGAAAACTCTTTTTTATCCACCCGAAGAGTCATTCTTACGAGGTTGTTAATCTCGGCTGTTCGTTTTTTCTCCTGTTTTTTAAAAAATTATTCTGAATTGTGGTTAGCAAAAAATTTCTTATTTGAAAAGCTTTAATTTTCAATGAGAATAATGTAAATTAATATTTCCCAAAAAAATGTCGATCGGGCGGATTCCTTGCTCCTCAGCGTACAAGGTATTAGTAGCAGTTTTCAGCTGTTGTTCCTCTTTCAAGAACAGATTCTTACGCATTACTCACCCGTTCACCACTAGAAACACCACTTCCTGTCTGATTTGCATGTGTTAAGCATGTCACTAGCGTTCATCCTAAGCTAGGATCAAACTCTCCATGAGATTTATAGTAACTTCGATGGGGAATTCTATACTAGCATTACACGAATACAATGTGTATAGATTTTTGATAAATTTAACTTTGATATTTCAAAAAAATTAACCGATCTTCAAAGTTTATGGATTAAACTTGTAATTTAACCGCAACATTTTCTTTGAAGATGACAAACAAATTATAGGTCCTATACCTACGATAGTCTCTAGCTCGAATTCCAACTACCAACGAACATTGATGGTAGATCACATAATTCATCTAAATTCGAGGTATCAATTTTTCGAGATTTGAATATACATAAAACTCAAATGGAAGTTCAATACCAAACATATCCGAAAACTTTGACACTTCTCCAACCACTACTTAAAAAGAAAAAATTTACCCAAAAAAGCTCAAATAATTTATTGTTGAAGAAGCAATTAAGTGAATACGAGAGGTTAGACTTCTTCTTAGCTGACTAACGTAACTTGGAAAAATTCAACCATTTTTTTTCTATATGCTGCCTTCATTGCTCTAAAAAATTCAACATTTAATTAAATAAACAATCCAAATTATATATATCTATATATATATATATATATATCTATATATATATATATATATATATATATATATATATATATATATATCTATATATATATATATATATATATATATATATATATATATATCTATATAGTGTAATTGGCCCACGTGCTTTTAAAAGTATCTAAGAGACTGCTCAACTTTTAATTTTGTATTTAACGGATCTCTAAAATTCTAAAATTTAAATTGTTTGATAAGTTTCTGCACTTTTAATTTTGTGTCTAATAAAGTCTCTAAATTTTTCATTTTGTATCTAAATAAGTTCATTTTTTTTAATAAAATAATTGGTCTATTGATACAAATTTAACTTTTTTTAATGTCTAATTAAATTATAAACTTTTAATTTTGTGTCTTATAGATCTATAAATTAATTTTTTTTAATGGATAATTTTGAAAGTTAATAAACACAAATCCCGACTAAATTATAATTTAAATCAAAACTATTATTTTTTTAAAAAATATAAAATCTTAAAAATCCACAAAAAAAAAAAAAAAAAAAAAAAAAAAATCAAAGAAAATTTCATCCAATGTAAGATGAGATTAGGGTTAGGATGGTGATATTCCAACTAGACTTGGCTATATATATATACATATGTACATGTATATACATCATATATATATATATAAAAACTCTAGAAAAGTAAAAGTATTTAATGTGACAAAATCTGAATTAGTCCAAATTACCAAAAGAAAAAAAAAAAAAAGACTTTATGGTTTGGAATTTAGTAACCCAAAACTTAGGGCATTTATTATTTTCTCATAATTTAAGTTTATAAACTAATAAAAATTTGGTGTCGAAAAGGAGTGAATTATATAAATTGAAGTACCAAATTACATGAGTTCAATAGAGTGGGAAATCGGGAACCGGTTAAGACACACTTGACTATAAAGTTAGGCAAGTTTTAAAAGATTTGATCGACATTTTGCGATCTGAAATCCCAACCAATCTGGACTCTCAACCCGAACCATAAAGGCTAAGTTAGATTAGATTTGTTTTCAGTTTGGGTTGAGTTGAATTTTTGAAAAACAAAAAATTTGGGTCGGTTTGCGGGATATTTTTTTTGTCGAGTCAATCCTACTAACTCGAAACTAGGGTTACAACCCAACCCAACCCATCGTTACCATAATTTTAAAATTATTATGAAAATTAAGAATATTTGACGTCGATATTAATAATGTGTTGTTACTTGTGAATGTTCGATATTTAAGGTTTATGAGATTTTAGTTATTAATAGCGGATAAATAGATTTTTTAAAAAATAATTTAAAAAAAAAAACAAACAACGGGACAACCTAATTCAATCCAAACATTAGATTTGTTCAAAAGATTTCCCTAACTCAACTCAATTCAATCCGATGATTAAGAAAATAAAATAAAAATAATTATTGCATTATAAACTTTTAATTTGAATAATTATTTTCTGTTACAAAACGGTTGCAATTAAACCGGGTTTTTATTCAATTGGTTGGATTTAATTTCACCTAATTATAAATTTGAAGCAAACATATAAATAACGGATTATTAGGTAAATTTTAATTCACCTTTTTTCCATTAATATTCAATTCAAAATATTATTTATTTATTTGTTTGATTTTTTTAGGTAAAAAAATATAAATACAAACTTTATTATTATTATTTTATGATTTAGCTATTTAATTTGTATACCATATTTTCTTTTATAAATTTGAATTTATTAAATATTAACAAATGTATAGTATATAACTATTTAATTTATAAATAATTTCATTAGTTTTATTTCTACTTTAAATTTTATATGTTTTTTTTTCTTACATTAAATATAGATAGAAATAGATATTTAAAAAAAAAAAATTAAAATTTACTATAATTGTAAAAATAAAAAACCTTATTTTTTTAAACTCAACTCAACTGAACTAAATATATATATATATCTCAAAAAGAATAAAAAATAAAAAATTAAGACATTATATTAATCATAATTAAATTTATTTTCACTAATTTGTCATCACTATTAAAATTAATTTAAAAATATCATAATTATTTTTAATTAATTACCTAAAAGTTAACGTCAAATTAACGGTGGAATATTTTTAAAATTAAAAAAAAATTGTATATATATATATATACACATGTATTATTACTATATAATAATAATAATAATAAATAAATAAAATAAAATAAAAATACATATTTTCCAAAGAACACGCGTACGCGGAATGTAACTGGATTTGTCACACGTTTGGAAACATGCTTCCACGATTTTAGCCCATTTTTCTCCTTAAATTAATTATTAGTTTTAAAATAAATAAAAATAAATTTTAAAAAATGTGGCTAATTCTATATTAAATAAATTATGAAACTTAAAATTAAGATAATAATGAGAATTTAAAATGAAAAACTAATTTTTTTTAACCCATTTTATTTGGTAAAAATAAAAAGAAAAATAGAAACAAAATAGTGTTAATTGGTTAAAATAAAAGTGAATAAATTAATTTATTAAAATATTTATTTATGTTCCTAAAGTATTTTAGGAAATTTTATTTTCTCATCGAAAAAAAAAAAGTGTGTGTGTATATTACAAAAGTCTACAGTAATATTAAAATTACAAAAAGTAAAAAATAAAAAGCTCTCCCTTAATTCGTATCCCTACCAGGGCTTCACATTGTAATCGCAATTCTTTGAAACGATCTTCGCCGCCGCCGCTAACTGATCCACCGTCACATCGCAGGTTACCTTTACTCTGATCTTCCAAGTCTTCACCGATCCTATTTTCAGTTTAATCGGCGCTCGAATCTCCACCGTGAACGGCACCGCACGCCGTTTCTGCGAATCGATTAGCGCTTTGCTTGCTTGTTTGGATAGATTAACGCCGGAGCCTCTCACGGATGATTGGAATACAGTGACGTTGTTCGCTGGTTGGAAGAAAGCAGGCAAAACGCCATCGGAAAGCTTCTCATCGGAGAAATATATTTGAACTGAACTATCTGTCTGGTAATAGATTCCGATTTTCTTGTTTGGATTATCTGCTCGAACGGCAACATCGAAAACTGGAGAGATTGCGGACGAGGATGAAGCGGTGGAGTTAAGTCCTCTAATCGCAATGGCGTCGATCGAGTAATTAGGCGATTTAGGGCGAACGACTAAGTAAAAAATCGCGACGGCAATGCCTAGAAGAACGATTAGGACGGCAAGAATACCGAGTAGCCAACAGAGGCAGAAACAGCAGCGGCTGCGGCGGTTCTTTCGGCGAGTGTAGAGCTCGAAGCGGTGAGCGTTTTCGGGCGGCGGAACGCGGTATATCTGGTCCTTGGGGAGTTGGATGACGTAGGTGCCGGGAGCCGGAGTAGGCTTGTCGGCGGAGGGAGATGGAGGCTTGGAGTCAGATACGGCGGAGGAGGTGCTCGGGCGGGGGGATTCGGCGGGATGAACGCGGTCGGCCATGGGAGGCTGAGTGGGAAGTGCAGAGAGATTTGAAGAAAATGAAGAGGAAGATGAGAAGAGGAGAAGAAGGGGGGGTTTTATATATAAAATTATGAAAATAAATAAATAAAAATAATAAAAATAAAAATAAAAAAATAATAATTAATTAATTAATTAGGAACAGTTGTGGATTGGGTGTAAAAGATTTGAAGGACGCGCTGCAATCGCCGGACGCCGAAAGCGTCAAACAAGATACTCTCTCTTTCACGCGCCTTTCCTCTAGGGATTTCTTTCTTTAGTTTATATTGAATTTAAATATATATATATATATTAGTCTCTGAGCTTTTAAAAGACTATTACCACAATGCCTACCGACGGCTACTGTTGACCACCACGAACCTCCAATGACCAACGATCGAGACAATGGGGATCATGACCAATGGCTAGAATCGACAGTTGAGTTAATTGAACAGTTCCCAAAAACCCTTTAGAAAATAGTAGTCTATGACTGAGTCTCGAAACCAATAACGAAGATTGAAGAATAGTGCCCTG